CGATGTCTTCTTTATCCAGCCTTTTGAAGCACTTCATCATGATTGGAGTCAGTGCTATGGGCCGGTAATCATTGAGTGAGGTGACCTTAGGCTTCTTTGGGACCGGAATGATGGTGGAAAACTTTAAGCATGCTGGCACTACTGATCGGTCCAGCGAGATGTTAAAAATGTTAACGAGGACACCAGCCAGCTGATCTGCACATTCCTTGTACAGCCGCCCAGGTATGTTATCAGGCCCTGGAGCCTTCCTTGGGTTGAGTCTCCTCAGAGTTTTCCTCACTTCATCTACATCTAGGTTTAGTGCTTCCTCGCACTGGTGTGGAACAGCTCGCATTGCTGGAGTGATTTTTAGTTATTTATAGTACTTTTAAGTAGATTGTTGTTTTAATATTGTGATGTTATTGCTTAAAAAACTGCATTAAATCTTCCATAAAGTCACATTTACTTGATGGAACGGAGTAGTTAATCTGCCAATAAGTGGCCATTGGCACCTGCCACTATGCTACACTCTAGTTGCAGCTGCCAGTACTACACTTTGCCAGATCGATCTACCAACAGAAATTTCACAACGAGTTGCCACTGCCACGAATTGAGCTTGTTGTCTGTCTACACCAGTGACTCCAATTTCCAGTTTCTAAAAGAAGTGCTTCAGGAAATACATTTATGAGAAGGAGCATGTATAAGTGTTTGGATAAAGAGAAAATACACACCATAACAAAAAAACAACAACTTTAAATAGTATTTCAAATAAATCTAAACATATTGTTCCTTTTTGAACTTCTGATACAATGAGTGGTGAAAAATAATCAGTTCATTGTTTTTACTTGCTGTTCATCAACCGAAGGTCAGCGTCTTTAAGCATTTTCCTCCTACATGGCGCTGGGATGAGGCAGAGATGGTAGCAGCTTGCCAGTCCGTGACCCTATAGGTCAGATTGCCCTGAAATAGGAGAGCATTTAATAAAAAAAAAGGGGGGGGGGGGGGGGGGGGGGGGGAATTTAGCTTGTTTCAAACAGTCTAATTTATCTTCTTTCATTTAACCAAAAAAAGATAAAAATGGAGCAAGTAAAAAAATGTGTAAAATGGATCCAGAAAAGCTACTCAAAATAACTAGAAACAAGATTAAGGTTGAATCCCAAACTGGCCCCTAAACACTAACCCTGAGCAATAACTCAGTGCAGGGGTTCTGGGTTTGGCAGCCAAATTGTGCACACTAACTTTGGAATAGAGTGTAATTGTGATGAATACGTTCCAAATAATGAGATTGCTCTGTAAGTGAAACCCCATTTTAAAAACAAAATAACATTAATGATAACTACATCTGTATGGATGTAAATGCAGTGTCACATATTGAAAGACGTGAATTTAACATTTCACCAGCCATGTATGTTTATATGCGTTAACTCATTACCAAACACCATAACCTCTTTTAGGAGTGAGGTTGGTTTCTAGAATCCATTGTTATGAAGCCAAATGGTAGTCTGAGTGATGGTGTATCATTATTAAACATAATTGAAAAGAAATTATCTAAACTACACTTAAAATAATGCATTAATAATTTTAATTTGCAGATACATAGAACAAAGCACAACCCAGTCTAAATGATACACCACTAGATGTCTGTTAAATGTTGTCATTTTGATTATATATTAATGAAGATAGCTGAATTAATGACATGTGATATGTATCATGTCTCATCTATGTATCAGGTATTGTTTTGGCCCAAATAAAGAAGACAAAATACATAAAAAACAGAAATTATTGCAGAATGATGTCAGACTGACCTTTTTTGAAAGCTTTTATTCTGAATGTAAAGTGTAGCATGAAAAAAGTATTTAACTATCTCTGATTTTTGGGAATTTGGATGAAACAGGTTTTTAATTTTGAAAATAAAAAGTTAGTTACGTTACAAACTCTGAAGGTGTATTGTTATAGACCAAGGTCTTTGCTGTTCAGCAATGTACCGGTGCAACCTCCTCATTTTGTTTTTTTTTTCATAAAAAAGGCATTTTTCCAGTTATTACCTTGTTTTTGTCAACACCATCAGACAGAAAAAGCAAATATTTTTTTATTTATTTGGTCTAATATGTATTTAGAGTTTTTAAATCATTATCTGGCATCATTCTTACACATATATGCTGTTAAATGTGGAATATTTACCTTTATACATTTTTTATACCATTTCACATGTAGTCCTTTAAAAGATCTAACATCATACAATGTTTACTTTAAGCCTAAATAGTAAAAGCCTTGTTTTTTCATTCAACAAACATATTTTTGCATTAAAAGAGACTATTACTTTAATGACAGAACAGCACTGAAGAAACATACTATAAGCATATTCATTTAAAACAAATAAAAAGCCCTCTGACGGCGGTGACTTTAGAACTGACGGTGGTGACGATGGCCTTATTACAACATGGAATTAAAACTGTATACAAATCAAGTCAATGGTTTCTTGCTTATTAAGTTTATATAACTGTTTGGTCCAAAAAAATAATAATAATGAGCACTGTGACAAACATTTTTCAAGCAATATAAGGTACAATTAAGCAATATCAATATTAAACGTACCCCATCCCATTTCCGTCAGTTTGGTCTAGCCTCGATCAATGCCCCAGGCCCCAGAACTGGCGGGCCAATCACAACGCAGCGATGTGTTTTGAATTTCTGGATGCAAAGCGGGCGGGGTTTTGAGAGCGTGACGACAAAGCTGCACAACGCTGGAGAAAGCACAACAAGGAAGATGGAAACAACTATTGAACAGTTTTCGTTTGACTCAGCTTTGGAATCAGTTTTGGAAAGATTAGACATTGGGTTTTTGTTGAAACGTGTGCAGGAAGAGGCTCTACACTCATTTAGGACGACAAGCTGTTTATTTACACTCCCCCACCAGCTTTCTGTTGCGTCAGTAGCACTCATTGGTCAGAGCGTTGGCCAATAGGCACAGACATGGTTTGAAAAACAACAGGTTGTTCTTATCAACAATCTTCCGATGTCTCATTTATCTAGGCCAGACTAAATTAGACATTTAATCTCACATTCAGTCTGGCTTATCAGGCTAAAGGTTGAGTGTAATGACTATGAAATTGGGGGGAATTACAGTAAACGTTAGATTAAGTCAAATGTTGCCATGCCATTTTTATTAGGCTTTTATTTAGGCATCATAGGAGATGCATTGCTTACAAGGGATATTGTATATTGGCTATGTGCTATGTAGGTAGGTAGTAGTAGGCACACTATATGCATCCCAAATGATCTAAGCCAAATGAACATGGCCTAATAGGTAAACATAAACATACATAAACATAAATTAAAATATAAAAGAGGTTAATGAAACATTACATTTTAACAATTATATTCTAGCCTTTAAGGACCATTTGTAGCTTCAAAAGAATCTCAGAAATGTGATAAAGTGTTCTTTAAGGTTGTGTATTAACATTCTTTAGGATAAAAAGAAGTAATTTTATTACCATAACTATATTATTTATGGAAACCCAGATGCATATCTGGTTGTGCATGTGCAAATGAGCTGACGGCACAGATCCTGCTTCCGGGACGGATAGGTTAGTGACAGGAAGAAGAAAGGATAGGAAATCATGTGCTCAAAGAGATAAAAAAAAAAAAAACTTTTAAAAACAGTTATGTGTAATAAAGTATATGAATTCTTCCTCCTTTTATTCTTCGCTCAGTTTTAGTATTGGGATATTATCCAGTCTTATAATGTCACTCTCCTCGTCGCTCAGACCATTGCTAGTGTGCTGGTGTTCGAAAAGCATCTGGCTTGTCGAGAAATACTTCAGAATACTCTCGGCGCAACGTCCATGGTTCAGCTTGTCTGCCACAGTCTGTACGGCGTCCATCTTTAATGAATATTGGTACACCTGTCATTTTGCTGCCTAATTTATATCAGCCACCTCGCCATGCTATTCGTTTGGAGGGTGCGGGCAATAACAAAGGGAACAAATCAAAAGCCAGCTTACCCATTATGTGAATACAAACAGACAATGACACTCCCCCTCTGTATACAAGGAAATCTTAGACATCAAGCCTTTTTCAAGCCTAAAAGTTATGCTTTTAAATAAAACAATACTGCGGTCTCTAATGTAGAAAGGCTTCTTCCTGACTTGAAATAGCAGATTCCACAAAAAAAGCAAAAATCACTTCATTTGAAAAGGTTAGCCTGCTGATATGCGTCCCTGGACTGACAATTAACATATTTGTATAAGGGAATTAATAGGAGATACATTTTTTCTAGCATACCAGCTCTCAGACCAGTCACCAGTGCCAGTTAACCATTTAAATCTGGCATTCTTATTACCGGCCTGCCTGCAATGTTATGCAATGAATGAGTTACATAGATATAGTTTAAATGACCAAATTGGTGTCAATTCAGGACTCTAAACTTCATGTAAAAGACTAAGAACCCTGGTGAATGAACAAATTGCAGTTATAATCATTCAACTAATATTCATTCATTGGTTTTACCCTGAACTGCAGGACTTCTTAATCCTCTGTTCCAAAGTGGTCTGCTATCAGATTCCAGAACACAAAGTTTGTATCCCTGAAAGTAATTAGAAAAACAAGAATTAACATACTTTTCCCTGTAAAACTGAAGTAAATGTGGAGCTATTTGTTGGTTTTGTATTCTTTAGCTTTTGTTTTATATTCTTTAGGACCAACAGACCTCTGTTGGTTGCTAGGATACGTCAACAACATTCTAATGGCCCTTTGATCCTGTGATGTCACCATCAGGGAGGGGCCTATGATGTCATCACAGGCCCCTCCCTGATGATGTCACATAGGCATAAAAGGCCAACATAGTCACACCCACACAGAGTTCCCAGAATTCTCTGACAGGCCAAGGAGCAGCAAGGTTAGAGCCACTACTCTTTACAAGTACAGCGATTTACGCTTAAATCAGGGAAAAAATAGAAAGTTGCTCAAAGAATCCAGAAAGAAAAAAGTCTTGTCGAAAAAAGTAAGCCAACACCGCCAGGATGAAGGATAAACACATTAAGAAGCACCCAGTTTCAGATAAATCTTCATCGGAGAGCAATGCAGTCCGCACCAAACCACACTGTTTAGGGTCCAGAACAGACAGTGGACCAAAGAAAAGAGCTGAACATGAGAACCGAAGGAAACGAACCAGGGTTTCTGAGGTAGTGGGACCCTCAACAAGAAGCCAGACAAAGAAAAGGAGGATGGAAAGTGCAGAGCTAGGAATAACAAGAGAGGATCCGGCGCTGCCAGCCAGGAAAAAGAGAAAGACCAACCACCTTGATGAGAAACCAATTAAAGATTCACCTTCCTTCTCATTCGAGTCCAGAACAGACAGTGGATCTAAGGAAAGATCTGAAAATGAGAACCGAAGGAAACAGACCAGGGTTTCTCAGGTAGTGGGACCCTCAACAAGCAGCCAGACAAATAAAATGAGGATGGAAAGTGCAGAGCTACAAATAACGAGAGAGGATCCGGCACTGCCAGCCAGGAAAAAGAGAAAGATAAAACATCTTGATGAGATACCAATTACAGATCCTCCTTCCTTCTCATTGGAGTCCAGAACAGACAGTGGACCAAAGGAAAAATCAGAAAATGAGAACCCAAGCAAACAAATCAGGGTTTCTGAGGTAGCAGGACCCTCAACAAGAAGCGAGACAAAGAAAAGGAGGATGGAAAGTGCAGAGCTACGAATGACGAGGGAGGATCCTGCACTGCCAGCCAGGAAAAAGAGAAAGATCAAACACCTTGATGAGAAACCAATCACAGATTCTCTTTCCTTCTCATTGGAGTCCAGAACAGACAGTGGACCAAAGGAAAAATCTGAAAATGAGAACCCAAGCAAACAAACCAGGGTTTCTGAGGTAGCGGGACCCTCAACAAGAAGCCAGACAAAGAAAAGGAGGATGGAAAGTGCAGAGCTACGAATGACGAGGGAGGATCCGGCGCTGCCAGCCAGGAAAAAGAGAAAGACCAACGACCTTGATGAGAAACCAATTAAAGATTCTCCTTCCTCCTCCTTGGAGTCCAGAACAGACAGTGGACCAAAGGAAAGACCTGAACATGAGGTCCCAAGGAAACGAACCAGGACTTATTTGATACCGGCACTCTCAACAAGAAGCCAAACAATGAAACGGAGGATGGAAAGTGCACAGTTACGAATGACGAGAGAGGATCCGGCACTGCCAGCAGGGAAAAAGAGACAGACCAAACACCTTGATGAGAAACTAATTACATATTTAGTTTCCTTATCATTGGAGTTCAGAACAGACAGTGGATCAAAGAAAAGATCTGAAAATGAGAACCCAAGCAAACGAACCAGGGTTTCTGAGGTAGTGGGACCCTCAACAAAAAGCAAGACAAAGAAACGGAGGATTGAAAGTGCAAAGCTACGAATAGCAAGAGAGGATCCAGCGCTGCCTGCCAAGATAAAAAGAAAGGTCAAACACCTTGAGGAGAAACCAATTACGTATTCATCTACCTCCTCATTGGAGTACAGCACAGACAGCAACAGCAGTGTGGGAATACAGACTACACAGTCCAGTATGGAGAGTGAACCAAAGGAAATATCTGAATATGAGAACCAAAGAAAAACGACAGCCTCTGAGGTGAACGGACCCTCCACAAGCTTCAAGTCAAAGAAAAGGAGGATGGAGAATGTAGAGGATAGCACAGCAGCGAAGGATTTTGGGGCGAAATCTCTGAAAAGGAAAGCTGAGACAGAAAATGAAAACGAAAAAGCCAAATTTCAGGAAAAATATGTGGAGCTGGATAAACTGGGAGAGGGTGGCTTTGGATCTGTCTTTGCAGGCTATCGTAGAGAGGATAACTCACCTGTGGCCATCAAGCACATCCCAAAAGAAAATGTAATATTCAAACATACAGATGAGAATGGCAAAGAGCTACCAATGGAGGTAGCCATCATGCTTAAACTGATGAATGTAACAGACGAGCCGTCATTCGTGGTGTCGCTGTTTGACTGGTATGACCTGGGCCATGAGGTGATTTTGGTGATGGAGAGACCTTTGCCTTGCGATGACCTCAAAAGTTACCTCAATAACCGCAGACGTCCCCTTAAGGAAAAAGAGGCCAAGGTAATATTAAAACAGCTGGTGAAAGCAGCCATCTACTTAAAAAACAAAAACATATTCCACAAAGACATTAAATCGGATAATATCCTTATTAAGACAGACTCAGAAGAGCCGCAAATCTATCTCATAGACTTTGGGGTAAGCTGCTTTGATGAGGGAAAACCACATGAAGTTTTTTGTGGTGCTGTTATTGAAGCCCCAGTTGACTGGTTCGTTCTAGGTTGCTGTGAAGCTGAACCCGTAACAGTGTGGCAGATAGGAGTTGTCCTGTTTGAGTTACTCCACAACAAGTATTTTAGTACCAAAGAACAAATGTTAGAATGGCTAAAGATCAGCAAAAAGCTTTCAAAGAAAGGCAAAGATTTTTTGACAAAGTGTCTCATGATTAAGCCTGCGGAGCGACCCACATTGGAAGAGCTGTTGGTTCACCCTTGGCTTTCATAAACTACACGCACACACCCACATAGATTATTTTATTTAGTTAGATTTGTATGGTTTAGGGTTGACTTAGGGGTGGGGTAAAATGCCACAGTGGGTAAATGGTTTTCTCCAGAGGCACCGGTTTCCACTTTCAGATTAATTTGAGATTTTAGGTTTTTCTCCGGGTGCTCCGGTTTCATCTTATACTTGAAACATATCTATTTTCTGTTTAGTTTGAGATTTTAGGCTTTTCTCTGGGTGCTCCGGTTTCCTCTTATATTTTAAACCAAATCTATTTTCGGCTTAATTGGTGATTTTAGGCTTTTCTCTGGGTGCTCCAATTTCCTTTACTTAGAAAATACATTTTAATTGATTTAGATATCTTTGAGTTTTCTCCAGACATCTTGCCCATAAATCATGAAGTTTATAATCACTGGGGATTTAGTTTTGTCTTTTTTTTGTGGTTCAGCTCTCTTCTTAGTCCTAAAGAAAATCAGTGATGTCAAATCCCCACCTCTAATTCAGTGCGCCATCTAGCCTACCTCTAATACTTGAGCTTGATATCTTCCAATCTTGATTCTTTTGCGATACCAGCGCTCCGTTTGCTGCTATGTTATCATCACGGCATTTGATAAACCTTTCTCTACAAAAGCAACATGTATGTATGAATTCACAAACGTATTACCCAAAACAAAACTTGAGATTAGTACCTCACAAAAGGAAGTTAAAAAACAGGTAGTCATGGTATCAAGTCAAATTCCAAGTTTTAAACCCAGATCTGAATAGATTAATAGATCTCCCCCCATAGATCAAGCTCAGTTTCAACCTAGTTCATCAGTAGGGCTCGGCGCAGTTCAGTTCAGGCACGGCTCTCTAATAACAGAGAGCGCATGAGCAGTAACTATAACCTTTTCTCATGATAGGACTCGTGCGCGCCTTGTCATGAGAGAGGGGAGGATGACAATGGCTGATGTATAGTAAGATTCCGTCTGTCATTTGGGTAGGTGGGTGTTTCCGCTGGCGGGTGTTAACGTACAGCACACACAGAGAGATGGAGAGTGAGGATGACTCCAGCAGCAAAACAGCGTTTTCCAGATGGAAATACCGGTGGTACGTCAAGCTGCGTTTCCCCATCACATACAGTTTCCCCTGCATCTCCGCACAGCGCAGGCGGCACGATTCACCGCGCAAGCGACAAGAAATGCGCATGCTCGCTAAAGGCATGCAACAGTCGTCCTGTGCTCACGCCACAGGAGAACTATGGAGAGCGTGAACGATTAAATTATAGCCTATATGGAGAAAGGGAGAAATCTGGATGGATGGATGGATGGATGGATGGATGGATGGATACTCTGCCTTTTCAACCTACTGTATTTTTATTTTAAACATTATTTGATGGCCTTTGTGGCAGGGATGGAGATCCATATTTTATGTCACACACAGAGTATACATCTAGATAGATAGATGGATAGATAGATGTTGCAGTATCTATAATAGGGTGACCAAACGTCTTTATTTCCCGGGACATATCCGTATTTCACGTCCTGTCCCGGGCGTCCCGGGTTTTTTTTAGAAAGTGAGGAAATGTCCTGATTTTTTAAATTACCTTAATTGGACCATTAAATTTACAGGCACTAGGGCACTGCGCACGACGCTGCGCGTGACGTAATCCTTGAGCCGTGTCAGTGCGGGCAGCCCTGTTCTTAATCAGAGGCTCTGTTCGAAAACCTGGGCTGCATCCTCCAAGGACGCGGTCTACCTAGACTGGATCCTTTGAAGTCCTTGAAAATAAGGAGGCCGGAAGAGTTTTGGCTGTAAATTCAACCAGGTCTACCCTTCGGCGGGTTTTACCGCCGTATGCTCTGTTGCTTAGCAACCGTGAAAGTTGACACACAAAGCAGGAGAAGAATGAATACAGAGGTTTTCAAAACTGTTTGTTTATTTATTTCTTTTTTAAAAAGTTAAAGTGAACAAAGACTACACTCACAAGAATCCAGAGTGGAATAAAGGTGCCAACCAGCGGGTGCAGGAACAAATAAAATCAAATGTAATGATAGAAACCTTAGTCAGTTAAATAACCTGCTGCTGTCATTTTGCACATCTCTGATGTTGCTGCTATTTTCAAATATCTATCACTGTAAAAATGTCCATAGCTGGATATTGGTTATTTATTCCCCAGTTTTATATTGTTAAAACATTTTACAGAATTGTATTTTATTTATTTTAACTCTTCCCTATTATGTTATTCTTATACATTTTTCTAAGGTCCTCATTTGTGTGACCATTTTCAATAATCTTTCTGCTGCTGTAAATTTGCCCATTGTGGGACAATAAAGGGATTTTCTATTCTATTCTATAAAAGTGTTGGAAATATATAAGTAAATCTAAACAATGTATGTACAAAATATATCTGCAAAATCTCTAATATTCAACAACAAAAAATACTTAGTTAAGCATATTGTGCAAAACAACAATAAAAAAATTAAACTCCTATCAGATTTATAGTTCCCACTCTGCAGATGTATTAGAATCTGTCCTTAAATTACAGCCAAACCCATTTATACAGTAACAGATTAAAACCTTTAGATCAGGGGTGTCAAACTGGTTCCAGAAAGGGCCGTGTGGCTGCAGGTTTTCTTTCCAACCAAGCAATAGCACACCAGACTCCATTCATCTCATCAAGTCATTGTGTTCAGATTGAACTCACTTAATTAGATGACTGGAGTCTGGTGTGCTACTGCTTGGTTGGAAAGAAAACCTGCAGCCACATACATTTATTTAGCGACTTTTCAGACCCCTCGAGCGACTAATTTTCAAAAAAGTGACTAGCGACAAATCTAGCGACTTTTTACAGTGTCACTGGTGGCTTTTGGAGACTCTTACGTGAAAGCATGTATCGTTCCTACTCTTGTCCTCCAGCGGTAGCTGCTGCCGTGGGGTGCCTCCCCCATCCCAACCCCGTTCTCCCGCAGGAGTCCCTCTCTTGCTCCCGCAGGAGTCCCCCTCAGCGTCCAGACTGCAAATGAAGCGCGCATGCGCCGGGATTGACGGCGCAAATTGGTCACGCGGTACCGCTCCGCCCTGACTTACATTCAAGGCGGGAGCGAGCGGGATGTAAATGTAAAATGTTATTTGGTCTAAAATAAATAACTGAATTTGAAATATTTTATCTTAAATAAATAACAGCATTTGATTCACACAGCCACAGTCAGTCACTTAATCACCTTGTCTATTGTGTTTTCCTCTCTAAGATTAACATTGATCTGCTGGTGAGAATCATTGTTTAAACTGTACAGTCAAAAATACAGGAGTTGGCAACACTGTGTACCAGCAGTCATCATCTATATGATTTCCCTTCCCACAGTGGTGGCATTTTTCACCATGCGAAAACACTGCTTTCACTTACAGGGAATTACTCAACTGCTGTAACGTTGCATGCGAGTGTCTCTGCTAACACTGCAACTTCCACTGCTTTCTTGAATGTGAGTTTATCCTCAGTCAAGAGACGTTTCTATACAGCTTCGCACTTTAACCCACAAACATTATAATCTCTCAGGGAATCCTCTAGGTAAGCTCAGAATTCAAAGTTTTCTGATAGCTTCTTGAGCACTGCTACATACTGTGCTATTATTTCACCTTTAAGCGATAACAAGCGGTTTCGTCTTTAAGTAATCTTTCAGTACAGTCACAACTTCAGTGTAAGCCTTTGTGTCAGTTGTCACAGGAGCCACTAAACTACGAAGCAGTCCAATACGGTTTTAGATCCCATAACACTGAATAGTATGGAAACCTTCTTAGCCTCAAGAATGTCATTACCTACCACATAATGCTCAAAACATTCAATATTCGTTGCCCATTGCTCATCAGACTCCTCAAAACTGTCCATATGTCCATATATTCTAGTAATCATATGTCTTCCTGTGATTACTTGTACAGTAGAAGATGAACTTGAAACACTTGATGCAGTTTAATCCGTTGCATTAGCTGTTCTTGAGTAGTGTTGCACCGATACCGATACCAGTATCGGACGGGGCCCCGATACTGCCCTAAAATGGTGGTATCGGTATCGGCGAGTACCAACAAATAGGGCACCGATACCTTTTTGAGAGCCATAAGTTTATTCAACTATTGTCACCCATTCCAGGTAGGCCATAAAAAGTTCTACTCGATTCACTTTGTATTAGATTTTTTCCTGCTTCACAAAGGAAGGCAGCAGCTTGACAAAGCCATGATGGCAATTATTTTACATTATTATGGTATCGGTATCGGCCGATACTGCACAGCCAGGTATCGGGTATCGGTATCGGGGCCAAAAAATGGCATCGGCACAACACTATTCTTGAGACATCAGATGATGACGTTTGGCTCATAGCTAGTTAGCACATAAGCTATCCCTAAACGCGGGTGTTCCTTTCGGTCTAAACTCACTGAAAGTTAACTAAACGTTCACTGTCAGTCAGTGAAAACTACTCCGAAATACACAACTCGTCGCCAATTTATGTTGTGTTGCTCCCCTTAGTATCACTAAGTAAGCGTCATTTTCCGACACATAGAGCACAGCGGACCAGTAGGATCAGTAGGTGATTTATTTTTAACCTAACAGTCCTATGGTTACATAGAATATTCCTATGCCCTAGTGACGGTGTGCCCTCTGGCGGTAATTACTGATATGGTTCATACATAACAGCGTCATCTCCTTACAGTCAGCCTTCATAATCATAACATTTCAGACATTCATAAAAATACAGGCTTCCCTGCCATGCAACACAATTTCCAGTGATGACTCTGCTTAGCAGTGTGATGAGCCTCAACTCCTGCCATTGTTTCTTGCATCTGTAAGCCCTGCACTCTACCCATTATATTCATTCAGCAAGCTAATCTGAATCGTTCAATTCCATTTCCAGAGCGAGATCATCTGTGGTAGTAGCACTAGACATCTTCCAGGCATGTGAGTAAAACTAGCAGCAGTTCAGTGGGCAGGATGAATGAATGTGTGAATATTATAGTCCTACCACTACCTCAAC